TCCATGGGAATACGGAAACTCAGCATTTTCTAGACTATGTCTCAAGTTCTGAGGTCACATGGCCTGCATCTCCAAAGAATTCTTTACTACTTCTTTGTGGGCTTCACATGGTCTTCACTCAGTGGATGCCACAATGTTAGCCCCTTTCCCTCTAGAGTAGGGGTCAGCAAATGTTTTCTGTGAAGGATCAGATAGTAAATATTTCAGGCTTTGTGGATCACACTGCCTCTGTTGCAACTACTCAGCTCTGCCACAGACAATACAAAAACAATGGGCATGGCTGTGTTCCAACAAAAATTTATGGACAATGAAATTTAAATTTCTTATAATTTTCACATTTAATGAAATACTCATCTTTTTTCTTCTTTCAGCAATTTAAGAATGTAAAAGCCATTCTTAGCTTGGAGGCCATAAAAAAAAAACAGGTGGCAGGCCGGATCTGGCCTCTGGGCCATAGTTTGCCAACTGCTGTTCTAGGCTTTAAAGGAAAACAGCTGGAACATAAGTTGGAACCATCCTGGGCGATCCCCTTACAATTTTGTATGGGCTGAGCTCTCTAGCCGCAGGACTACAGGTTCATTATGATAATTGGGAAGGCCTCAGGCCAATTAAGGTCTTCATTGAAAAGTCTACTTAATTTTGGCTTAATGTCATAATTTTTGATCTCTACCTCATCAAAACTTTTCAAGCATATAGGGTCCGGTTAGAATTTAATGTTTATGCCTTTACATAAAAATTGGAAAACTTATCCTATAAAATTGGAAACCTAATCTGGGTCTAAGTTGAGGAATGTATTTTTGGAGCAATGTTTTGGCCAAGTAATGTCTGCTATCTTCTAGGGCGATGGTTCTCAAAGAGTGGTCACCAGATCCACAGCATCAGCATTACCTGGGAACTTAGAAATGCAGGTTCTTAGCCACTACTCCAGACCTACTGAACAAGAAACTGAAGATGTAGCTCAGAAATCTGTGTTTTAACAAGCCTTCCAAGTGGTCCTTATACATACTAAAGTTTGGAAACTAACCTTCTGGGGAAAATCCTTGGACCCTCCAGAAAATAAGCATAAAGCTTCCATGTTGGATAAGCCAGGAACAAACAAACAGTTCTGATATGTTCTGTCCCCTCCAACTGATATATTGACTGATAGAAGGCACCTAGGAGTTAAGGGGTAACTATATAGATGTAAACACGTTGTAAACAGTGAACGAGGCAAACTGCTGTTTTCCTAGTGGCCTTTTTCTAATCAGGGACCTCATTCTTTAAGTCATGTTGTTTTATGGTCAGTAAGTGGCAAGAGGAAATAGCTGGTCCTTGAGAATAGCAGCTTCAGTAGCTGCAACAGCTCAAGCAATTCCCTGACTAAACTCATCTGCATGATTGATGTAGGCTATTTGTCATGGCGGAAAAGGCATGAGGTATTGGGAATTGGAATATACTGGAGAGGAAAAATAATGCATTGGCCAGGTAAAACTACAGAGACCTGAGTTGGGATCCTGGAGAGGATGGTATTAGAATTCGGAACTATGGGATGAACAGGGCTGACATATATATGCATTAAGGTGGCATAGATTCTCGACAAAGCAGTAGACTTGTCTGCCATCAGAGTCAAAATTCTCTGACCTCTTCACTAGGTGTTGAGAGTATGTGCACTCTGGGTTAGAACTAAGACACCCAGTTTAAGGAGGTTATTAATGAAGGGCTCGAAATCTCTTCTGCTTGTTTTGAACACAAGTATTAGGGCATCAAAGTGGCCACATAGGCAATTTGACTTTGCTTTTAGCAGGAGGTGCTCTAAGCTGATCTCCACCTCATTAGGGCAGCTGCCCACAGACAGATGGGACTTCTGCATGGGTCAAACCCAAGCTGAACAGTGCTTGTGACCCAGTCATTGTTAGTTTTCCATTGAAGATAGTCCAGATAGGAAGATCTGGTCCGTATATACCATGTTCAAAGTGCACTATTTTCTGAACAGTCCTGATAATCTGAAAAAAGTGCATCTAGAGAATTGTTTTTTCCAATGCCATGGGTTTTAAAATAGTAGCAATTTATCGAATGGGGTTTAGGGAAGAGTTACCTTTAAAGTGTGAGGTTATGATCCATTGCCTTTGTAAACTTTTAACTTGAAGGAACATAAGATTGGCTTCCTCTTCTTCCTTTAGGTTTTGAATCTCATCATGCTCATGGATGACTGCTTGGATGAATTCATTAGTCAGTCTTGGCTTCTCTTTGAGGGATGCATTTTGGATTCCTTCAGAAACCTTGGACAACTGCCCTTAGGCAAAAACACAGAGAACACCCCCAATAGGGCCTTCAAAATTCTCTACCACAAAAATTGCCTACAGAATTTCCTGAAGTGACTGTAAGAAACTTGAGGGCATTTGTCTGACTTCCATTTATACTCCATTAATTTTTGAATAATCATTTCTAATGTAAAACTAATGAGTATACTTTCCTTATGTCATGTATTAATTCTTTTCTATTCCAAGCTGGCCTATCACAGAGCTAAAGGATTTCAAAGGGGTCCAAAAGTTCTTCAGATTAGGGGACAAGGATTTGGCTGGCCAGCCTCAGGAGTAATCAACAGTCACCTTTGTTAAATCTCAAAGTACTCCCAGAAGCTTTTTAACCTCCTCCTATGTAAGATCTGCTACATAAAAAAATGCTTTCAAGCTTTGGTGTGAATCTTCCCAGTTCCTCTCTAAGTTTTGGGAGCACTTCAGCAATGGCTACTACTTCAGACCCAGCCCAGGAGACACAGGATCCTGGGGGCAGGACAATAGATGGATTTTGACAGAGGGGTTTTGGGGATATAAGTTGATCTACAGAATTATTAATGTTAAAATAATGTTCAGTCAGTGGAAGCCTCCACATCCGTGTAATATACACCCAGGAAGGACTCTTACTCATTTACTGTGAAAAATAGGGCTTCCTAGAGTGAAGAGCCCAGTATTTTGGGTGCATTTTTTTCTAGATGTTGTCCCCTAAGGATCTTGGGGGATAATGCCCAGAAGTTCTTCAACTCTTATCAAGATGCAGAGGCCAGGAAACAGCCCCAGGGCCACGATCTGCTGGGGCTACAGGAATAAACACTCGGGAAGGCTTTTCCAGGCACCTGATAAGGCTTCTTCTTGAGTGTTGACAAGTTTTACAAACTTTCTAGGGTATTTGTATGGGAGACACCCAAGGATTTTGTATCTCGTATAAGCTTCTCTTCCTGCTTCCACTTTAACTCCATCTGCTCAAGATAAATATCCTGCAGGGTTTTCCTACATTACGGCCCATCAAAGGGAAAGCACAATTTCAAGTCCTCCCTCTTGTACATGTTCCATATTTTAACAAACTTTACAGACTGGACAACAGTGATGAGAATCCCTTTTTAATCCTTGGACCAAGCAGTGACCATGGTCAGTTGATTTAGACCAAGGATGAAAACAGGACACTCAAATGTTTTATGGGGTCTTATAGAAAAGATGTAGGTGGAAATAGGTGACACAGAGAATAGAAAGACGTGCCAGCCTCAGTTTATGACCCCAAATTGAAATGACAAAGCCTTCCAAACTGAAACTCTTCCAGTCCAGAGACAGCTGCGTCGGCCCCAGACAGCAAAGGGAAGTCAAGAGCAGAAACGGGAAGTGAGAGTGGGAGGCCACGCTGCCTGCCCTTGGTCCTCTTGGTGCTGTCCGCTTCCGCAGGGTCACAAGGCTACGGATCCTGCCAACTATGTCAAATTGATGGAGAAAGATCCACCATTGCCTCATATTTTCGAGTAAAGTCTGTCATTCACTAAAATCAGCAAGCATAGCAAAAAAAAGGAGGAAGCATGTATTTCCCAAAGGCAAGCGCTTCAATTCCCCAACCTTATTAACACCTTAAAGCAGAGGTCAGCAAACTTTTTTTTTCTGGGCCATTTGGTCTCCATCACGACTACTTAACCCTGCTATTGTAGCGAGAAAACAGTCACAGAATGAGTGGGGCTGTGTTCCAACAAAACTTTATTTGTGGACACTAAAATTTGAATTTCATATAATTTTCATGTCAGGAAATATTATTCTTCTTTTGGTTTTTTCAACCATTAAAAATTCTAAAGGCCATTGTCACTGAATTTTACACTTTAAAATGGTTAATGGTTCATTTTATGTTACGTGAATTTCAGCTAAATAAAAACAATTTTAGTCCATTTTAGCTTGTGTGCTATACAAAAACCAACGGCAGGCCGGATCTGCCCCACAGGCTGTTGTTTGTCAACCCCTGCCTGAAAGATACAAACATTATTTTAGACACTCTTTTTTGTTTTTTTTTTTTTTGGTGAGGAAGATCAGCCCTGAGCTAACATCCATTGCCAATCCTCCTCCTTTTTTTTTTTTCCCCAAAGCCCCCCAGTAGATAGCTGTATGTCATAGTTGCACATCCTTCTAGTT